ACTGTGGTGCCTTGTTTGGCTCTAATCCCACCCAAAACTGGGAAGAAGATATTCCATTTCATTTCCAAATACTGCAAAACTAATAATCTGAGGCAAGAAATTTGCTTGAGTATTCTTGTGTAAACCAAGTGGGCAATGCTAAAACTCTAGGAAACTCTAAAATACGAGGATATCAAGTCTCAAACCTGTTTGTTCACTGAAGGCTCAGCTGCAAGCTATGCTGAGCATCTGCCATTTCCCCTGAGTGTGACTGTCAACATCTCATGGAAATGCAGACTGAGCTGTCACTCTTGTTGGGATTTTGCTCAGGTTTATCATTCATTCTTGTAATTAGGATCTTTTTGATTCCTCTGAGAGTGCATAATTGATAGGATGTTAGCACAGTATTTGTGATGGATGTGTATTTTGGCCAACTTACTAGATTTCTTTTTTTCTTCTTACAGAGATAATAAACAGCTATATACTATCACTACACAATGCCATTATTTTCTTTCATTTTCTGTTTTCTGTGAAAATCAGAGATCAATACAAATCCGATCTACATCTTGAAACATATTTAATGTTAGTAAACCAATTGAGTTGCTTATATCACCATGATTATTGTACTCTTTTTTGACTTATTTTGATAAAGTAAATCTAAGTACATCTACTAAATTCTCTCATATAGATTGAATGTTGAACACTGAATATTGCTTTTTTCCCCAGTTCATTATAACTTGATCACATGGATTAGTTTCATTTTGTTTATTCAAATTTAGAGGAAGAATTATAAACACACTGTTATTTACAAGTGAATGCAAGTTATCTCATAAAGTTTTTCATCCCACCTTTGGGATGATGGCATAGATAGAGAGCCTTTGTCAGTGAAGGTGATGGGTTAATTGTGGGTAAGCTCCCTGATGCAGTGCAGTACGTCCTGGGTTCCTCCGCTCCTCTAGTGCTTCTTCCTTGTCCTTCATGAAGTGTAGTATGTACTGAGCCTGAAATGGTCTAGAGCCAGCTGGAGGCTATGAAGGTAGACAAGCATATTTTGTACCCTTAAATCCTCCTGCAGAACTGGCTTAGACATCAGAGCCTGCTCAACACAGGTGCAACAGGATTGTTGAAGCCATGTTGCACAGGTGGAGCAATTGCTTTATACGGTGGTCTCGGTTATGTGTCTGCCAGGACCTTGATTGATGACAAACTTCTTCAAAAGCATTAGCTAAATCATGAGTCAAAGTATTTTAGGGGAGAGTAAGACAATGAATAGTGAAGTGGACCTACAGCAAATGTGGGCTGCTCTTGGGAGTATGCTATCCAGCCTTCTGTGGTGATCTGCTAATAATGCATTCTTGCATGCAGGATTTTCATAACAGTGGTCAATCAGACTGTTTTTCTTGATGGATCTTTCTGTAAAAATAAAAAATGTGTAAATTAAAAGGATTATTTGTGTACACGCTTTTCCTAAGGCATATTGTGATTTCATAGCACAGAGTTTCTGGACAGCTTAGAAAATGCACTGTATTTGGACACAATGGACTTGTGGTATTCTGTAGAGTACTGATGTATAGACATACTGACTGCCACATGGAGAATATGGCTACTTGCTTGTACAGAGGTTTGTGTGGAGCAGATCTCTGTGGATTGGCTTCTCTGGAGCAAAGGAGACTGCAGCATTAGGGGAGGCATACTTGTGAAGCTCCCATATCTGATGGATGGATTTTAAATAAAAAATATGCATTCTCTTGTGTTACTTGATGTGTTCCAAGGGTGCTGCTATGTCTGTAGTGACTATTTCAATGCAGTTATGTTCTTTCCTAATCTCAGTGTGTCAGTACCTCCCACACGGTGTCCCCCCTTAGACAGTATATGAAAAGCTGTCAGCCTTTAAGTGCCCATCTTGAGAATGTACAAAGACAGCTGTTATTTGACAGTGGGTTCAAAATCTCCAAGCAACTGTCTCCTTTTCATTGTATTACTTTAGATAAGTAAGCAAACACCTGTTTTTCGTATATATACATCCATGTGAAATTCTTACAGCTAGTTATCCTGAACTGCTTTTTGTAAGGAATAGGAATCAATTGCTAATTGTATAATTATAAGTGATAAATAGATATAAAAAAAAAAAAAGAAGATACATTAATTTATTGATTTATTGTTCCAGGCTATACTCAGTCAGCTGTCATTTATTTGAATTCAAGCTTAAATTGGTGGTTTACATGGGTGGTGGCTTAGTGACTAGGACACCATTCGTCTTTTGTTGTTTGATTCTTAAGCAATCAGTCCAATAACGACAAGTAGGATGGTTTTTTTTATTTGTGTTACAAACCTGTCAAGTAAAGGGATATTTTTCTAAGCAATTGCTCCCTAGGAGGAGGAATAAGGCAGCAAAAAGGTATTCAGTCTGACCTTGTGCTATTGAGTCAGGGCAATATGCTGCAGAAAAAAGCTGTCAGCAACTTATTGTGGGAAATCCTTGTTGGTCCTTGGAGCATCATCCCAGTGAAAATCTGTACCAAACAGATAACTTGCTTTCTAATCTCTCTGTCTGGTTTATTTGTATCTGTGGCCTTATAGAAGATGTATTACACCTGACAAGACTGAAAGCACGTGTTGTGTGTGTAAAAAGATGTATCCACCAGCCATTCCTCTAATACACAAGCCAGAACTAGAGCACAAGAGAAAGTATTTGTGTTTCTGCACTTGGTGACTGAGCCATGTCTTTTTCCTTGATTCACTGCTCTGATCCTGTATTACACCTGGCTGAGGATCATCTCCAGCTACCCTGGAATGACCTGCACGTAGTGCCTCCAGAAGAGTTTGGTACTTGAGTGCCTGTTACCTCTGCTTGTAATTTCTATTGCTGCTGCAAAGCAATATACTGGTGAGGGCAACCAGATTAACTGCAGGATCCTGAGTGTTAGGCAACAAATTCTGATATGTTTATAAGCCTTTATTACTTCAGCAAATGTTTCTATTTGTTCCAAATGGTCCTTTCTTTTTTTTTTCTCTCTTTTTTTTTTTTTTTTTTTTTCTTTCTCTCTAATGATTTCCCACTCCCTATCCTACTTTTTGCCCCTTCTCCCTGGGCTTTGACAAACATATGTTAGCAATGCTCAACTCCAGTACCTTGTTAAATCTGCCATCTGAGCAGGTGAAGGGGGATTTTAACTGTACAAAATTTCAACTTTGAGGAATTAAACTGCTTGATAATACATGTTGGAGATGTTCTGATTTTTTTTGTGTGTTTGAATGATTGTAAAGATAGTTATGTTCACACAGATGTAGAACTTGGCGAAAAAAATACCTTGTTTGTCTAACTGGTTATGTAGACAGCCATATGATAGGCAAAAATGTTAAATCTGGGAAGACATAGTACTATTTTAGGTCTGCAAGTTTTCATAAAATATCCTGAGGCTGTTCTACAGGAGAACTGAGAGTTGTATTTTCCTACAGAACCACTTTTTCCCTAAAGTTATTAACCCAGTGCTGTTCAAAGCAATTAGGAACTGTGCAAATGACTTTTCTTTGCCACTTCTCCACCACTCTTCACTTCCAAAGTATGCAGGGTCAATTATCAATACCAGGGTATAAAGTTAAAAACACTGTTGTGCTCTGATGAATCAGGGATTCATCAGGGATTTTAAGGGTCACGATCTGTTGCGCATAAAGCACAACTGACCTCCAGTACATAAATATTTGGTTTAGTATTTAGAGTGTACCAGGACAGATTGATCACTGCTCTGGAAATGAGGTGACAAACTTGACAGAAGACCAAGAAGATTTTTTTTGCAATGAGAAGTTGGCAATTTGCTTTTCTTTACTTACACTTGCTCAAAGATGCTGATTCTTTTACATTTCTTACTCAGATATTTTCTCCACAATTATAAGACCTTGAATGTTCCTTAATATTTTGAGGATGAGGAAATCAGCTCAGATTTGATGATAAAAAGCACTGAATGTCCTATCATTTACAAAAAGAAATTTTATGACCATGCAGATTGCCACGACTGTCCTTCATTAGGTCACAGATGACTGATAGAAAACGTTTTGCTGCAGAGAACAAGTAAATTCAGGTAATTCAGGGTATGATAAACCATACTGTGATTTTCACAGAAACAATGTCAGCATGTCAGCCAGACATATTTTGTGTCCAGGGAGAAAGATTCTTCTGCTTATGAGACATCAATATTCTTGTCTTTATTTCTATAGATCTTGTTGTTTGAGGAGATATCGAGTCTCTGAATCCATCTTCATTCTTCTCAAAGGCACTATTTTTTGCATGGATATTTTCTGTTGGGCTCAGATGCTTGAGGGGGTGTGCAGAAGGCTTTTATCTCTGATTTCTGAAGGTTCTGTCTGTTTGCCAGAGGTGAATGTAAGCCAAACCTGTGAATCTATCCAGTGATCTGTCTGTGGCACTGACTACAGCTCCAACTGTGGTTGAAGGTGTAGCTGTGGACCACACCTGGCTTTCATTAGATAGTTGATGCAGTGAACTGGTCTCCAGGATGTCAGACATAATATCACTGTAAATGAAATCACTGGTCAATTTATGGCTTTATTATTTTATTAATTTATTATTAATTTATGTGCAACCGGCAAACCGATGACACAGTATCAGATAACTGAGAAGAAGTACACAGCTGAGGTGACAGTCAAGTTGGTGCATTGTTTATAATGCAGCTGAAGGAGGGGACAAGGAATCACTTGTGCATGCAGAAGGCAAAGTATGAGTGAGGTATCCAGAATTTTCCTCAGCTGGGAGATTCCCTGCTTCTAAACTCAAATCAGCATGCTGCAGATTTCTGCTCTAGGTTTTGATGGAAGCCGTTCGCCCCTTGATAGCTGTATGGGAACTCTTGAGTCACGGCCTGGGCCACTGATTGACCATCTGAGGAAGGCAGTGAGTCAGCCATGGGAGCACAGGTGTGTGATAGAAGGGGTGGAGCCTGGCTGCACCTCTCCTAGACCCCATTTAAGGGCTGCTCCGGGGGAAGGATCTCTTTCTGAAGATTCCTCCTCTGGGGAGTCTTTCCTGTGAGTCTAGATCTTCAGATACAGGTGAGCATTTCTTTTCTGTTTGTTTCTTTTCCCTATTTTTACCGCTGTAATCTCTCCAGCTGTAACTCTAACTGTAACAATAGCAAACACTCATCCTGTACATGTGATCAGCCAAGCATGAGTAGTTACCATGCTCCAGTGGAAAGTTACAGAGATGAACTCTATGACTTCCGTGATTCAGTGTATTCTCAGTTTTCTTGGGAAGATGGGCGCTGGCTACATGATCACCAATTATTTCCTGTTGTGACTTTTTTTTTTTTGTCTTGATTGCCTTTCATCCTACTCTCCTTCTCTCCTTATCTCTCGAAAAAATGTACTTTTTCATAAAGTAAGCAATTCTGTGATTAACATCCCAAGGGAAAGTCCATCTGTTTGAGAAACTTTATCACAAATATTGTTCAGTTCTTCTCACTACTCAACCAAAGATGATTATTGACTAGCACAAGAGATAAAAATCAATCTGTTTAGGGTCTAACCTATTTAAGAAACAGAGAGATGTAGAATGAAGGCTTATTTTTTTTTCTTAATTTTAACATTAATGAGCATTTAATGTGACTGTATTATCTCTAAAGAGAGTAGGAATGTAATGAGATAGTAAATTGGTGTGTCAAGGATGTTCTGAAGCAGAACAATCTTTGTAACAAACTTGACTGCAGGCAAAATAGCCAAATTGGTAGCATTTGACAGTACAATATACATCACACAGTGATACAAAATACATTACCATCTGGGAATTTCTGCACAGGGTGTATGCAGATACAGTTCTGACTTAGGGATAGGGAAAGAGGTGAGGGCTGTATGGTGGTGTGCTGATCACACACCTCCTGGTGCAAATTAAACATTTCTAAGTCAACATATAGTCCATTTCTACCCCATCATTTATACTATGGAACTGAAAGGAAGAATCCTGATTGTACCTGCCCATGGGAAATTAGACTGGCCCATAGGAATAGAGCAGATAATAGAGGAAAGCCGGTGTGCAATTTTGTTGAAAGTTTTCTTCATAGCAAGGTTTTTGAATCTCTTTTCACTTCCTCCAGGCAGGAGCATATGTTTCTATTTCTGAAATCCAAACCAGCTCTTCTTGTGAAAGTCTAAGCAGAATTATTAAAGGAAAAGGTTTCAAAGAGTTGCTCTGTGTAGCTCACAGGTTATTGCTTTAGAGCTCAAAGGAAAGCACTTGATAAGTTTCAAAGCATTCACAGGGAGCAGTGACACTGATAGTGACACTTCATTTTAGCTGATTAAAGAGATAATGAATTTTAATGGCCAAAATATGTCTTTTCTTTTTCTTTTTTTTCTGAGTCAGCCCCTTGGAGGGATAACACATATGCAGGACAGGGCATATGTCAGGGGTCATCAGCATCCCTGAATGGGGTGGAGACTGTACAGGCAGGAGACAGATATACAAGGTTGGGTATTGGGTATTGGGTCTAAGCATACATAAACCTGGGAGTAAGAAGAGGCAGTCCTATGTGGCTGGAGATCCTGCCTGAATGCACTCAGGCCAGTTGCAACCTGAAGGTGTCCTCAGGGCTCGCACACTTGGAGATGCTTTAGTTTAAGTTAGACTAATGCAAGGGAGGATGTTAGATCTTTGGTTAGGGAGTCTGTCCTTCTTGTGTTCTTGCTCTACTAGTGCTGCAAGAGCAGGGAAGTTCAGAGGCTGAATGCAGCTCCCTTGGGGGGTCTGTTTGTCTTTTCTGCAAGCTGTGACACAGTGTATCTAACAATGTGAACTCCTCAGGTAATAGTAACACTTAATTTTGATCTGAAGGTAGCATTTTCCAGCAAAAATCTGCCCTTTCTTCCCATAGGCTTTCTGTGTCCTCAATAAACATCCTTGCTTGGTGTACTTTACCCCTTCTGGACTGCAGTGGTGCTTCTGCTTGTTAGAGGTTCTTCGGGAAAAGAAACTCTTGAGAAACACAGATAAAAAAAGATAAGAAACAGAACAGGGGTTAGGCAATCTTATTGTTATCTCCCCCCTCTTCATAAAGTTTGCTGCTGCTGTTTATTTCCTGCTGTTTTTCTTTGAATTAACCAAACTGGGCTAATACTCTTCACTCTTGGGCATGCACAACCTACAGGCTTTTGTGTGGCCAGAAAACTGCCAGAAATCCACTAGGACTCAACTGTTGCCCACTTTGGGCAGAGGGGAACTACGCCTGGAAGGGATGTCACGGAACAGTTCTGCTCTGATAATTCCTTGCCTGGCACAGAAAGGAAGCTGAAATGGATGTGGGAGATGCTATGCATGGCTGTACAAGTAGATGCGTCTAAAATTCATCCAGAACTTTCTTCTTTCTGAGTAACTCTAATAAGGGCACTGATGCAAACAATATAAATTTCAGTGAACAGGATGTAGCCAAGCTGAAAAAAGTCATTCTTCTGTAAGTCGATAGTGCAATATACAGGATTTAGCACGTGCAGATACAGTATTAAAGTTCAACAGAAATAGCTTCAGTGACCTTGAAAATGGGCCTTCTACTAAAGATAAAAGCACTGGTGTCTGAAATGATCTGCAGTGTCAGCAAATGTAAAGCAAATGGAAAATATGGTTTTTAGATTCATAATATACTTGAAAGTTTAATCAATAAACCTGACTTTAGGTAACGCAAACTTTTCCTTTTCCAAAAAATATAATTTATTTCACTTCAAATCAATTTTAAAAGTACGTATTCTGTTTCCTAGAACAAGTTACAAGACAATTAGTTTTTTATTCTAGTATTAAAAATAAAACTTTCAGCAGATGTACTTGATAATACTTCAAAGGATTCCCTTGAGGCTTGTTCTGGGAGGCTGTTAGGAAAAAAGGCAAAAACTAGCAAACAACAGTTGATGAGATTTTATTCAAAATTTTATGTTTGCAAATGAATTTGAGGATAAAAATTCATCTCAGCTAAATTTGTATATTCTGATATAGATGAACACATATGGGAAATGGGTTAGAATGAGGTCTCTTAAAAAGACACTGAGAGTCTCCTGATGTTTGTTCCTCACCATGATTTAACAGGCGAGCTCAGGTGTTATGCAACTTTGTAGGCACTCATAGTCAGGAGCCACATACAATCAGAGCCTTATGAATGACTAGGAAAGCTTTCAAGCTTTTCCAAATCTTTCCATTAGGGACTCTAATTGCAATCACACTATATTCCTGTAGACAAATAGTCTGTTGCATGATTGCATTGTGAGTGTATTGCATCTATTTCCACTGTACTAATTACTAAAAAGCCCCCTAAGGGTTTAATGGTAATCCTTGCAGAGTGAAGTGCAAGGTAGAGAAAGGGGTATCCCTCTAATTAGATCCATCACCACCCTATGCAGGATAGAGAAATGTAGAGTTAACTCATACTATAGTTAGCCATTGCTAAACAGTGAGTCATGTGAAGATGAAGATGAGAAGCAATATACGTGGGCTTGGGATGATGGAACTCTCTGGTACTGCTGCTGTTACTGATTGCTTTTCTTTTTTTTTTTTTTTCCATATGCATTTTGTCACTGGGCAGCATTAGATTTCAGCTTGTCAGGTACTAATATTTTGCCTCAAGAAAGCTTTGATTCTAGACAGTATAGTATTTTCTTCTGTATTGAGGTTATTTAATCACTTTAGCCTTAAGTAGAAAATAGATTCTCTTGAGATAAAAGTTTCAAAGCATGACATTGAGACATTTCATGTGATTGTTTGTAAACAAATATGTTCTATTTTTCAGGCACTTCTCCTCTGAATGTGCTATTAAATAGTGAAAGTATTCAGTGGGTCTGAGCCTCTATCTGTAAATTCTGCTGATTTTTCTAAGACTTCCCCTTCTGTATATATATTTGGTGGCCATTTCTTATTTTATTAATATGTAAATTCATGTGTGGTCAGATCATCAGTCTTTGACTTCTAGTGTTTGTATCTATTTTAAAATAGAAGTGCAGATACTTCTTAGGTACATTATCTCTTTACTTTTAAACAAAGGATATTAATCATTCCATTTTTTCCCCTTGCAGGCCATAAGGGATGCTCTGTTTATTACTGCAAACATGTTGAAAACACTTCAGAAGAAATATTTTAATTCCCTTAAAAAGGTTTGTGCAATAAGCATCTCTTGCCTTCCTTTTCCAAAGATCACATAGTGTGAAGCAATCTCAATTTATTGTATCACTTAGTTTATTATCTTTTGAGCACTTGTTGCTAGTCTCTTGGTGGTAACTCTGACACAGTCAATATGGAAGTGTTACAATTTTGATACTGATTCTGGAACAGATTTTGCATGGATATAGAATCATGGAAACCTTAGAGTTGGAAGGGACCTTTGAAGGCCATCTAGTCCAACTCACCTGCAATGAAAAGGAACTTGCACAGCTAGATCCAACCTCACCTTGAAAGTCTCCAGGGACACTGGGCAACCTGTTTCAGTGTCTTACCACCCTCACTGTAAAACATTTTTTGTTGTTGTTGTATCTAACAGAAATCTAACCTCTTTTAGCTTGAAACCATTTCCCCTTGATCTATCACCACAGACCGTGCTAAAGAGTCTGTCCCCCTCTTTCTGTAGCTTCCCCTTAGAATACTGAAAGGCCACTATCAGATCACCTCAGAGCCTTCTCTTCTACAGGCAGGGGAGCCCCAGCTCTCAGCCTGTCCATAAAGAGGAAGTGTTTCATCTCTTGGATCATTACTGTAGCCCACCTCTGGATGGGTTCCAACAGGTCTATGTCTCTCTTGTACTGAGCATTCTACATCTGGATGCAGTACACCAGTGAGGCCTCACCAGCTCAGAGGGGCAGAATCACCTCCCTTGTCCTGCTGGCCATGCTGCTTTTGATGCAGACCAGGATACAGTTGGCTTTCTGGGCTGTGAGGCACATTGCTGGCTCTTGTCCAGCTCCCCATCCACTGGTATGCCCAAGTCTTTTTTTGGCAGGACTGCACTCAACTCTTTCATCCCCCAGCTTGTATGGATAATTAAGTCTGCCTTGACCCAAGTACAAGATCTTGCATTTGGATATACATTTGGGTATACATCTGGGGTAACTGGATTTTTGCAATTGTAACAGCCACTCATACCATCTCTGAGGACCAACTGGAATTTTTTTGCACTCTTTTATATTGCAGTCAAATCAGTAGTAGATTTTACTATAGGTCAGGTAGTAAGACAGTGCTTAACTACTTTACAGATGATGGCTGCTAGTGTGCAGTTTGCAAGTTTCCTGGGGAGGATGACTGTTTTCTCAGGCTGATGTTGAGGCTCTGACCAGGCTCCTGAGGGCTGTGTAATGCTGTTGTGGCCTCCTGCACCTTCAGGATCTGCCATCCCTGGTGTGCCCAGGCTCTCTGCGAAGTCCCCTGTCAGTGTAACCTACTCTGTGCTATGCCTCTAGGGACTGGTGCCATTTTGGTGAGGCAGGAAAATGGCTGCTCCCTTTCAGAATTTATGGAGGATGACGATGATGTGATGCAGAAACCTGTGTTCCTGTTGGTCTTATGGATTTATTTCTGCATAAATAAGGGCTATTGTGGTGTTGAAGACGATCAGTTCAGAGAATTTAATAAAAAGACAGTTGTACATGCAGGGGTGCAGGAAGACTTGCTGCTGTTTTGCCACCTCTCAGCTGCTGAAGGCAAAATCTTCTGAGAGTCTGACTGATGTGCTGCAGGAGTTGGGAGGTGTTTTGTCCTGAGGCTGGGAGAAACAAGATACAAAGCTCTGTAAGTGCTGTTAATATTGTCAGAGAAGTTTTGCATTTATGGTATCTTCTTAAATTCTGTAGAATATGGCTTTTAAGACTTGATACAATTCATGGACATGGGTGGATGGGAAATGGTAATGAAAAACAGAGACTTTCAGAATGAGGTAATTGCTTTAGGGACTTGGTTGTGCAGCTAGTTATTACCAAGTGTAAGCTTTACTGCTGTGAAGGGACCTTCAGTACATATTCAGAAATATGATCCTTCTTTGGTAATATATGGCTTTGGGCTAAAGCTCCAGTTAGTCAGCTTTGAAATTGATTGTATACTTAGTGGTACATACAAAATCTACCTTGGAAGGTAGTTGTCCCTATCACCTAAAATTAGAAGGATCATAGTTACTGGGATCTGGAAAGCTGAAGGGAAAATGAAATTTTAATGTAGATGATGTTATGATTTACTGGGGGACTTGGCAAGATATTCTTTAAAAAGAATAACTGCATTTGGATTAGGTTCCTTGTGCATACTGAAATGTCACAGCCAAGTGGAGACAAAGTCTTCTTTGTTGTGGTCTGATAAGACTGAAGTCCAAGCAAGGTAGGAGTGTAGCTATTTTAAAATCAACAGCAGTTTAAAGCACATTTGGTGCACTTGGCTAATATTTCTTTAAAGATTGAGTACTTATTTTTGTATGGAAATATTGCTAAATTCTTGTACGCTTTCCCACCTGTAACTCTGAGTTATATAATCTTCCTTTATAATGTTTTATCAGTGGAGATCCCTGAGTGCAGTGAGACAGTGGTTTACTTGCCACTTAGGAGAGCAGCACCTAGTCTGGGAACAGGATTCAAATCTCTTAACTCCATTTCATAGTACTCTTCCATGCTTCTGTGCTGTAAGCGTAAACATGACATATTAATGAATGCTATATCTCTTAATTGGGAGGAAAAAAAGACTGTTCTTAGCTCTCAAAATCTATCTGTTTACCTTTTTTGAAACCTGCAACTCTTCTTAGTAGATGTTGTTTTAACTGCTATTTTTTTTTACTGTATTAAGTGATTACTGTGATTGCCTCTCTTAAAGCTTAGCTTTCAGTAAGCTTGATTGAAATCAAACATCTTGATTTGTGTAAAACAAGTTTGTCTTGCGTCTTAGACTGTCTCTGGAAAATCTTGTGTCTAAAATGCTTGAACTGATGTTTATCATTAGTGATTACGTTAGACAGAAAATAGTCTTCTGTAATCTTTTTTTTGTTTGCTCTTAAGATATGCTTTGTCATCAGATCTACAGGAGAATGAAATACTTTTTGATTTTAAAGGATCTTTGGCTTGAAGTTCTGCATAATTTTTCTGACACAAACAAATTTCAGGGTTTTACATTTTTTAGTTATTATTTTAGTGGAGACATGTAGGTTACAGGACAATGTTTCAAGCAGAGAATTTAGTAACAATAGTTTTTTAGTTCTGTGCAGAGATATAAAAGTAAGTAATCTTGTTGAGTGCTACAGGAATACTTGCAAAATTATGGATTCCTTTTGCTGAACGAAAACTTAAACTGCAATAAAATAGTCTAAATATGAGCCTAGATATAGATATAAGTCTTAGCTCTAAAATTTCTTCTAGCTGAAAGTGTGAGGTGTTGCTTTTACCTGAGCCAGGAAATCACCTGTTTCCAAAGTGAGAATGAGGATGAGAACTTAACGTAGTAGTCCAACGTGGTAGGACATTTTTACAGTATTAAGAGAACCCAGAAAAGAATCTAATGAGAAGCCATCAGTAAAACAGGAAGAGGAGGAACATCTAAGCTCCTTGGATCTTGTTAATAAATCAGTGTTACAAAGATGAGGACCTTATATGCTGTTGAAGTTCAATGCTCTGTCACCTTCAGGATTCAAACCAACGCTGGCTTTGTTGGCTGTTGGATAAGCCCTTTAATGAGAAAACTATGGAGAGCAGAAAAGAAGAACTAGGTATGAAGGAGCAGAGATGGGATCTTGAAGATATTTGTTTACTTTTAAATAGAAGAATAGGAAACATTAACAGAGAATAAGTACAAAAATTAGGATTTATTTCCTTGATCATGTGGTCTGTATTACAATGATAAATTTCTGTTTGATCTACTATCTTTGAGGCAACTGGAGTCCTCTTTTGTATCAGTCTCCATCTGCAGTGAGTAAGTGCTGAAGACCTTTGCGTTCTATTGCAAATATGACTATTAAGTCATGAAAATATTGTCCTGCTTGTAATTAATTTACTGCTGTTCATCACACATGAAACTTTTACGGCACAGAAGAGTAGTTGGCCATAACATTACTGAAATGTATAAGCATAGGTTCTGGCCCAGTGCCCAAATTGCTTGTGAATGGGGAAAAAAAGGAAAAAAAAGAAATCATCATACTCCTTCCTTCTGTGTACAATTCAATGGGAACATTTTGGCCTCTATTACCAGTTAGTCTGTTTGCCAAATGCTTGATTTTTGGCATAGCGTCATTGAAGTATATTAGCAACAACAATATATTAATATATAACATATATTATATTGTATTGTACATATACAATACATAATACAATATACATATACAATACAGTATATAATATTGTACAATACAATATGCAATACAATATACATAATACATTATATTATATTGTACATATATTACATAATATATTAATAACAAAAAAAATCCATATTTTTTCCAGAATGATCCATGTTACTCCAGAAGAAAAGAGGATTGATTCATCAGTACTCTGTAGCCTTTTGTGATGATCAGAAACTCCTGGTGTGAGGAAGCAATGCCTCAAATGGAAGTGAAAGTAATCTGCATGTTGCTGAGCATGTTTATTTGTTCCAGTAGGTCATGTAAAGCCTGTTCTCGTTTCTACACATTGTTTTTTATCCTGCACATTGTTTTTTTATTTTGCTTTCAGTAACTGAATTGTGCTCAACAAAAAAAACTCTGACGTTGTTCTCCCCTTCTCCTTTTTGGCGGCAAAGGTAGTTCAGTTAACAGATCTGAACAGTGTTTTCACTGCGCCTAATCACCCCCATTGTTAAAAACATCAGATCTACTGGCCTAGTGCTCCTGTCAGGCCAGAAAAAAACAATTCTCCCACCCTTTTTATCGCCCAGCATCTTCTCTGTCATTCATTTACTGTGCTGAAACCTGCTTGTGCTTCTCTACATCTCTGCAATAATCGAGAATAACTGCAAGTTCAGACTCTAGTTGTTGGGTTTTTTTGTTTTCTTTTTTTTTGGAGGATCTAACCACCCTCTGCTGGAAAGCATAAAGCAGAAAGAGAAAGAACAGTTTCTTCCTGCTTTTATCACCCATGGCTATGACACTAGTCCCCTGATATGTGCTTGTCTGTTGCTTTGCTATCAAATTTCATTGCACAATAAGGGATTTTAGAAAAGGAACTTCAGTAGTGAAGATGAAATAATAGGTGGCAAGAATATGGAGAGCTAACGTGTGCAGAAAAGTTGGAAAACTGTTTAGATGAGTTCAGAAGAAAGTTGAAGAGTATGACTGACACTTGAGGTAAGAAGGGAGATAATGAAGCATTAATCAAAGGGATGGCTATTAGTACAGTTTGTTCTTAGAAGGCTTAGGTTGGTAAAGTGAGGATCAATTTAAGCGAGCTATGCTTGTTAAAACACTGGTTATACAACAACTTAACTCTGAATGAGAAACCGTTTCTAGCTTTTATAGTAAAAATAAAACAACAAAAACACTGACCAACAATTAAAAATATATTTATTAAAAATATATTGGTATATATTTATTGAATTCCAGGACACTGGCTGGCAATGAAACGGGAAGGGGAGATGACTTATTCAACGTGTGTTTGGTGGTTTTTTTTTTGTTTTTTTTTTTTAAGTTAATTGAAAAATAGGCTAAGTTGCTTCAGGAGCATCAACTCTATCTGTTTGTTACTTTCCTTTAGATAACTCGACAATCTGTTGATTTGCTAATGAAAAACATAACACACACAGCAAGGTTCATACCATGTACCTCTGTCCTCCTGAAACCATCCCTTCCAAACTCAGGTAGTTTCTTCTGTGTATTTTCTTTTTTTTCCAAGAACCAGCTTTTTCTTGGAAATATGTAACTGACAGACCTGCAGAGGTTCTGACAAAAGATGGATTTGTTATTTGCCCCAAATAATCTGAAGTAATGTCTTTATTGTTGCAGTTGATATTTTATATATATATGTACATATATATGTGTGTGTGTGTGTATATATATATAATATATTTTATATATATATATATACATATATATATAATTTTTAAGTTGGCATGGCTTGTTAAAATCCACACAATTGACACTGAAGGTAGGAAAACAGCCAGTTTGAATGCTGTTTGTAGAGTGCTAAATATATTCCAGGAAGAAGCTAGATTTGTTATCTTTAGCTGTATATTTGCTCTAGCAGAGTTTGTCTGTCTGAGGTGTTACAGGGTATAAAAATAAATGGTAGACATTCCTCACTGAGAGTGGTGCAGCTAAACTGCATTTGGTAGCAGGATCCTTTGTATCTTTCTGTCTGGAAATTCAGATTTAATGCCATATGTTGTGCTCAGGGTATGTGGCCAATTTTATGTCTTGCAAGCCACTGAATGTGCTAATGCAAATGAAATTAGGTATGAACTATTTTAAACTTTTATTCTGACCATTATTTACATAAATCCTTCACTGGCAAGTTTTTTTTTTTTCCCTTAGTTTATCTTCATTGATTGAGCAAAGTTTTTTTTCTAACTTGCTCTCCAAACAGAGTTTATGTTTCAGATAAAACCTAAAATTAGCTCTCTTCTGGCAGTTGGTTTATCAGCAAACACAGCAATACACCTCTAATGTCTTTGGGCTCAGAAGCTGGGATTCCTCCACTGAGACTCTTACACTAAAGGTAAATGTGCAACTAATGCTTAAAGTGTGTGTGTAACTTAGGCTGTCCAAGAAGAATCTTTAACATTTTTCATTTCAACTTCCTCACATTAAGGGAAAAAAAAAAATAACAGCATCAAAACATGCACACACACAAATAAACAAAAAAACCCAACAACAATAAACAACCCAAAGCAACAACCAAAACCAGATCCTTTGAATATACTTTCCTAGGTTCTTTGGGAACCCATTTCTGAAAGTCATCATGTGAAATGATTTGCTTACCTTGTCTGAAAGAGTAGGGTAGTTTTGTGTAATGACTTATATTCTTAAGGACAAATTCCCCATGGTGATGATCACCAGAGTGTAAAGAGCAGGTTTAATGCTGAGGTTTAACTTCTGAAAAAGTGGTTATTGTGATATGGTTCTTGCATACATAATTGTATTTAAATTCCTCAGATTAAAAAAACAAACAAACAAAAAAACAAAGTAAACTTATCCCATTGAAGAAGATACTAAGATTGCAGGTAAGAAAGCAAGATACAGCAAGATTCAAAATATTGTTTTAAAAATGTGGTGGGATGTGTGGTGTTAATTTATTCTTTAATACTAAATTTCCATTTGCATTATTTTGAAAAATCAGCGTTTGATGTTTGACAGCATAAAGGATTAAAAAAAGAAATATAGGGATGGAAGAAAAGGTCAGAGGTGTAAGTTCATCGTTTTAATGGGCCTGAGACCTAATGGCTTGGGGAGTGGCCTGTGCTTGATATTTATGGAAAGCGTATGAGAGCAGACAGACATAAAGTGAGATTTTTCTATCTCTACTTGCTTTCAGGAATCTTTGTGATATCAGATTAATACCGATTAGTAGGAAAGACCTAGAATTAGACAGAAACAGTTCAAATGTTTCCCAGAAAAGCCTGTAACAAAACCATTGTCCTAAATTTAAGAAGTGTTCAAGAACTACATTTGCCTCATGTAATGTTTATGAGATTGCTCAAGTGCTATTTTTGTTAGGAAAATTGCTTGCAAATGCTAAGCCTGTTAAACAGGCAGTATCTACCTCAACAAACACTGCTTTAATAAAATGTACATAATAGAAGATCAAGAGAGACAGAGCTACAAAAAGGATTAAATACACTTTGCCATAGACATGAGTCAAAGAGAGATAGCATTAATCCTAGAAAGGCAATGAGCAGCTCTTCCACACAAATTCTCTGATCACAGAGCACCAATTTATTTGCATTAAGCTGTAAAAACCATCTTGCAAGTAATAACAATCTGAACAAAACCTTACCATCTCTCAATCTTGAACTGGTCATCTTTCATGGTCCGGGTGCTGCAATCTTGTAAATCTTTTTTGAAGGAAATGTCAATCCTACTCTTGCTGTAGAAGGCCAAATGTAAAAGTGTCCAGATACAAAATATCATACTTTAATAAATAAACATACAAACAAGCTTGTTACTATCTGCTGTTTGCCTCAAGGTGAGTTTCAAGGCAGCTTTCCATTTTAACATGTTAGAAAGCCCTACAAAACCCATGAAATGCAAAGATGTCGATATACAGCCTTTTACTCAGAGTCCCTTCTGGTAGCTCTGTCTCTCTTGATCTTCTGTTATGTATGTTTTATTAAAGCAGTGTTTGTTGAGGTAGATAATGCCTGTTTAACAAGCTTAGCATTTGCAAGCAATTTTCCTAACAAAAATAGCACTTGAGCAATCTTATAAACATTACATGAGGCAAATGTAGTTCTTGAACACTTCTTAAATTTAGGACAATGGTTTTATTACAGGCTTTTCTGGGAAAAATTTGAACTGTTTCTGTCTAATTCTAGGTCTTTCCTACTAATCAGTATTAATCTTATATCATAATGAATACTCAGTTTCAAAAAGTAAATGATTTAAATGATTGAAGGGAATTAGGCACCTAACAGGCATCCTGTTAAGTTTACCAATGGAGGGTTCTGATGATCAGGTTTTTATCTAAGAATTTACAAGGATGCCCTTTAATGGTCTTCCTGAAATGGGATTCTTTTGGTGACCTCCGTATTTGAGAATGAAAATGTAGTTTGCAAAATCTTCAAACTCTTACTTGCCTCTCTGTTTCATGCATCCCATCTGGGCAGGCAAACCCAGATGATGAAAACTTGTGTAAGTAACCTAGCTGATAATCTGGGGATGAATAATGTGGTAGAAAATCAGAACTCAAGACCTTGGAAAAAAACCACCATGAAATAGTAGTATCATGCTGCAAGGTGTGTGCGTAGTACATAGAAGGAATGTAAGTGAGAACTCAGACCCTGCATTTTTTCCTTCAAGGCTTCTGTGGCCGGTATGTCCATGACAAATGCCATTTCTGTTTGTTTTCCATCTTTTCACTTTCAGAGTCCAATTGGTGAATTAGCCACACTGGTCTTGATAGCAGTTCTGCCTTCCTCTTCCTCACCAACATAGAGGGACAAGCCTGTATTCTCTCCTGATTCCTTTCTGCTGCTCTCAGATACCTGAGTGCTGCTGTGGTTTGCCACATTTGGTCATGTCCAGTGCCACCAATGGCCATGTCATTGATCTCTGCTGTGGCAAAGATCACAATGAGGACAAGCATTACTGTTTCTCTGTCCTCCTGAAAACAAGTCGTGTTCAATTGAGCAGCAGGTAGGAAAATACTGTCACTTTGCTGCTTATGAAAGTGCTGCTCATTTGAGCAAGGAGGATTTGATGCTTGCTGCAGGGAGTTGCTGGTTACCTGGTAGCACCTAATGATTTTTTCCCCTTCTGAGTGGAACGTATTTTATTGAGCTTGCAGGAAACTTTCATATTCTCTTTCTGTACTGTAGAAATATTTCATTAAGTGTCTCAATGTGCTTACATTATTTATAATTTTGTAATATTTCACCCAAGTATCAGATTAAAAAGACATTTATCTAATGATCTGTCTTGCAAAATAAAGTCAACAAATTAAAACTTCTAGATATGGGGAACCACTTCTGTCTGCATTTTTTTAATAAAAAATTCCCTTCTTCCACTGTGCATGTCTAAACATATTTTTGAGTAACATCAGAATGAAAAGTTGAACTTCATTGTGATTTTTTTTTCCTTGTATTTTCCATCTAATAACACCCCTTATATAGACACTCCTTCTGAGTTTCCACTGAACTGTCATCAGTTTGGTCATGAGCAATTTTCTAAGCTTTCTGTATTGGAGACAGTGGTCAATGCAATCTTTCAGGTCAAGTGAATTATCAATTTCACTAGTATCTTTATCAGTCAGAGGTTTATTTTCATTCAGTGTTGGCTTCAGAGTCAGA